TTCATGGGAAGACAGCATCCTGACTCCTTCTCTAAACAGCATATTGGGAGTAAATATGATGCATCCAGGTGGAAATATGATTAGGGGTTAGAAGACAGACAGGGAAAGAAGAAGTCAGAAATAGACACTGAGATAGTTACTGGTTGGCTGGCTACAAATACTGACTCTCCAATAGTGATAGAATAAAAAAGTGAGGGATATCTCTGGAAGATTCAAGAGATAGGGGGCAACTCTTCTATGGTTTTGACTTGCCCAGCAGATTTCCACATACACATGTGTACACATCTATGTTTGCATGCACACACATATATACATAACTGACTGCCCTCCCTGGAAACACAGAAGAAGAAGAAGCTGCCAGAAGAAGAAGCCACCCACCTTTGGTCCAGGTGACAGCACCTGCGGCTGGCTGCAGCCCAGGAGATGGATAAGCCACCCGCCCGAGGTCCCAGGCTGCAGCCACCTGGAGAAGCTGCCAGCCTTGTGGTCCAGGGCGCCAGCACCTGTGACCAGGGAAATAGGTTCCCTCTTCTCCTACTGCAGTCATTACTTCAATATTCCCCTTCTGAATTTCTCTCCTGTGCTGCAACCCAACTCCACTTTTCATCGGAAGGATACAGAACAGAGAGAGCAGTGTTAAAAGCTTACATTTTTAAGCCGGTAAGGTTGGTACTGAAACATATAAATGGAAAACTAGAGTCCTTAAGATAACAAAGGCTACAAAGGACAGGGACAGTGCATGACCTATTATATCCAGCAATCCATACGGGGACTGAAAACTTTGCAATGATGACAATTAGTGAAGATATGAATCAACTAAAATAGTTGACAGGGACAATTCTTCCATCTTTGAAAATATCTACATCAAATCTGTTTAGATTTTCATCTGCATAATATAACACATTCTGACAAGACCACCATCACCACCAATGTGGTCAGTGTTGTGCCGATAAATGTTTAATAACTGAGGGGACCCCCGCCCCGAGTGCACAAATTTTTGTGCTACTAGTCTATTATATTTGCTTATTTCTAATTTCCAGATTTCTTTAACATGAAAAAGTAAAGAAAAATGTGAATAGAAAGATTTTTAAAATAAAACTGTGAAGTGTAAAAGTAAAGATTCATTTGTGGGAGATGCAGGATTTGAGAACCAATCAACATTCTTGGGAATGAAAAACTGGCTTGAAATAGAAACCAAGTGGGAGGGGCAATATCAGAGTAGACAGCACTGAAGATCAACACATCAGGCTGGAAAAGTGGAGTTACTGAATTCTCCCAGAATACAGAACATTAAATCAGAGGCATACTTTAGGAAGCACAAGTTTAGGAGCAACAGATCCAGAATGTTAACATTCAGCTCATAGGATTCCCCAAATAGAAAGAAGGAAATTAAGGACAAGAACCAGGTCTCTGGATTGAAAGGACACTTAAATAAAGTTGGATCATTGGAGAAAAATGGGTCATTTATACATGAAATCTTGTAAAGTTTTAGATCTCCAAAAAAAGATAAGCAAACAAAAACCTCAAAGCTTCCAGAGTCCTCCATACACCTGTCATTAAACATTCGCTGCTAGAAAACAAATGAATATAGGCTTTACTTCCCTGAGCAGAAGCTACAATTATCTAAGGCTCAAAACTATCATTTAAGTATAAAGCAAACAACAACAAAAAACAAACAAAACAAAACAGTAAAGTTCTGGACAAGCAAGGAATCAGAAGTTCTCTCTTCATAAAACCTCTCATATAAAGAGAGAAAGTTGCACCCTAGCTCAGTGGGTAGAGCATCGGCCTGTGAACAGAAGGGTCTCAGGTTCGATTCCGGTCTAGGTCACATGCCCGGTTGAGGGCTCAATCCCCAGTAGAGAACATACACGAGGCAGCCGATCAATGATTCTCTCTCATCATCACTGAGGTTTCTAACTCTCTCTCCCTCTCCCTTCCTCTCTGAAATCAATAAAAATATATACTTTAAAAAAATAAAATAAATAAAGAGAGACAGTTACAGGTTTCAATGCAGGGGCTTGGAGCAGGGTGAACATATGGATACTTCTAGGCTTGGTTTTCTCCTCCTCTGGGTGGTCACTGTTATTTGAGTTGGGGTAAGGTGGGAAGTAAGAGATTTGGCAGATGTTATCTGCTGAATTTAACCACCTAGAAATAGAGGAGTCACCTGCTGATTTGATCTGTTTTCTTCTTTTCCGGGCAGCCCTTCGAATAGAGTAGTTGTCTCCAGGGAGACTGTGTGGCTTTCCTGTGGTGGTGACAGACTTTTGGTATTTATTTTCATAAGCAAACCTAGGAAAAGTCTGACACTGAGCAAGGTGGAGGAAGGGGTTAGATAAGTGTCACACTGAGTCATCCTACTAATCCATCTTAACTGCCTAAAGTGGATGTGTATTATTCAACTTAAGAGAAGTTGTTGAATCTTACCAAGTCATAAAATAAATGATTTGATATCGCATAGTTGCTATTTATTTAAAACCTCTATCACTTCATTTATATGTTTGCAATAGTCTGTTCATTTCTGATTTATTACAGTTATAAATTTCTTTTTGAGGTCTCAACAGATTTGGCATTTTTTAATTCTGCTGTATGTTGTCAGCACCAAACAACCTAAAAAAGTATGTGTGCTTAGCAAATGTCTGTATTTGAAAGAGCATCTTGCTTCTTGGAGTGATTTCTACCTGAATGTTTTTATTTCCAAATAATACTGGCATTTCACCAATTTTGTTAGGCTATGTCTGGTGTGTATTTGTTTTTCTGTGTTTCTTATAAGCCATATATAGATGTTCAATATTATATCCAGAATTTTAAAAATGTACCTGCTTAAATTCTTTCAGGATCTAACTCAGAATTGTTCTGTCTTTCTAAACAAGAAACACAATTATTCTAGAATTCATAGAACTTGGAGGACTTTTAAAATTAAAAAGAATTGTGAAGACCCATGACAGCAATGTCACCCTTACCTCTCATAGTTACAGCAGGAAAGGAAGATAAAAGGTTTCAGAAAATCACCTTCAGAATTTTATGCTCTTTTCCTTTTATCCTGGACAAAATGGAGAAATGTCAATGGAGAGAATTTATAAGTCTGGGAGAAAGGGAGTCAGAAAGCATGGATGTATTTTTAATTCCCTGTCTAATAAATAAAGGGCCTAACTGGCAGGTATTATATGTCAATTATATCTCAATAAAACTGGGAAAAATAAACTAGAAAACAATAGGGTAGCAGCTATATTGAAGTGAATGAAGCAAGACATTAAAAGAAAAATTGCTAACAACTTACAGAATTTAAAAGTTACTGGCAGTCTTCTAAGTGCTTTACATGTATGAATTCATATAACTATCACATGAAACTTAGAGTAGGTACTATCATCAAACCCATCGTCATATAAGAAAAGTGAGGCACAGAGAGGTTGTATAAGTTGCTTAAAATCACCAGCTTGCAAATAGCCTCACCAGGATTTTAAGTCAGTCAGGCAAGTTCTAATATCATTGCTATTAACTTGGGTAATATACCTCTCAGAAAGAAAGAAAACACTTATTCCTGATTCTCTCTATAGCTCATAAGTTGGGAGTGTTAGGGTCAAGTCTCGGATAAACCTCTGGCAGGACCACAAACAAGTATCAGCTTAGAGGGCAGAGCCTCTTGGCATAATTATAGCCCTCCCTAGTTCCTTCCCAGGTAGCTAATGAGGGGTGGGAGGTGCAACAAGTGCTGCCAAAACATGGTGAAACACACAAGTGCCGGGAGCATGGTAAACATGTTGACCACTTCCCCTGTTTTGCTTTGTGTGCTCTGACTATAAAATAAAGCCTCGGCTTGCAGGCTGGGTCTTTCTGTGTCCTCATCCAGGAATGGGAAATCTGCCGAGCCTCAGCTGTATTCTCTTGTCTGTCTTCTTTAATCCTTCACCTCCCCTCCTCAGGTTCACCCTTGACTGTGCCAGCTTCTCAGGTTCACCCTTGGCCTTGATGGCATAGCACAATAAGTATGTAATTATTTGATGGATGGATTTATTACCATGCCAGGTTAAAGTTCTCTTTCCTTATCTTTTTTTACTTTTAGTTTTCAGTATGTCAGGTGGCCAAAGAGAAGCACACTGCTGAGAAGCAGCTATTCAGGGGCGTCTGTCTTCCAGTTTTCTGAAACCTTTTTAAAGACCACCCAAGGCCTCCTTCCCAGCCACGAGTTTTCCAAGGACTGATATCCCCCGGGCTTCTTGGAGCAAGTCTCAGAGGAGAGACCTGTGGCAGCCAAGAGCGGTAACTGGGCAGAATGTCAGAGTATTTGTTTCAGTGCCTGCGGCAGTGAGGGTGAGGAGTTCCCGGATGCCTTCATCTCTGTAAGATTTTTTTCAATTAATTTAGGTATTTTTATACTTTTTATTGAACTTAGTAGGGTGGCATTGGTTAGTAAAATGATGTAGGTTTCAGGTGAACAATTCTATAATACATCTTCTGTATATTGTGTGTAAGATTTTAAAATTATGAGGGTTGCATTTTGTAGGTGGTGGGCAAGAGAGAGGGAAGAGGTTGAGCCTGGGGAAGGATCCTGGGGGTTGACAGAGGGCAGACCAGGTGACATCTGCCCCTTAATCCCATAGGAATGTGTGGGGACAGAATTTGTTGAGACCAGAGTAATGTTTGCCCTAGCGCCATCTATCTCAGCGACTGCTCTTCACCTCCTGTCTGCCCCATCCATTGAACAAAATGTTCTTGAATTAGAGTTTAGAGAGATCATGGACAGATATATTATTGCAGAACATGGCTGTCAAGATGGAACAAGACTGTTTCCTTGGAAAAGGAGACAAAAGGTGTCCTTAGTGAGTGTGAAGGCTTCCCTGGAGTCCCTGAGCGAGACACCACAGTTGTTGAGAGCTATAGGAGCCATTTTTGTGAACCACCTTGGTTAGACTTCTTACTGTGGGTCCATCTTTGTTGCTCCTCTAGGTATTTTCAGGGCCTCCCTCTGTGGCACACTGTCCTCCGTTCTGGGAAAGATGGTGGGTTCCCTGGACATCTCTCTGCCCAGAGATCTCTTCTCAATCTTGCTTCTCCAGGTGTCCATGTGGGGCTCAGGTGAGAATATTTAAAGATTCTTATCCCTGGATTCTCTCGTTCTCTGAATAGAAGGATTCAATCACTTCTCATACATACCTGGATTAATTATAAATCCTTCATTTTGATACAGTGATTTACTTGCCTATACACAAGGGCAAATAAGTCATCATACGATTATTTTAGAGAGAAGGATCAGGCAGAATTACCTCACTAATGCGTTCTAACTCGTGCAGGTCTCAACTTCATGGGGAATGCACTTCCTGATGTCCAAGCACTGATGAAAAACTCTAGCTTCATGATTTCCCAGCCCTCTTCCCTCCCCCTTCATGGAATTTACCACCAATGCAATTTAAAAAGTCATTTATTTAACATGAGATTACCATGTTGCTTGTAAGCTCCGGAGGCGTAGACACCCTCTCTGTCTTTGCTCCCCCGCCTTCAGCCTGGTGTGTGCAGCAGAAGGCGGCCGTCTGGATGACAGAGTGCCTATGGGTCTCCACAGGATGTGATGACGCTGTGTCAGAAAACGCCTGGGTCCTGTGTTATTCTTGTCGCTTTCGGTCTGTCCCACAGATTCATTCACGGTCCTCGCTCCCTCGGAGCCCATTGTGGCCCTGCTGGGCGCAGACACGGCGCTGCCCTGCCGCGTAGCCCCGGCCATGAGCGCTGAGGACATGGAGCTGCGGTGGTTCCGCTCGCGGTTCGCAGATGCCGTGTACGCGTATGAGGACCGAGTGGAGCAGACGGAGCAGCAGCTGGTGGACTTCCGAGGGAGGGCCGAGCTGGTGAAAGATCACATCGCCGAGGGAAGAGTGGCTGTGAGAATCCGCAGCGTTAGGGTCTCAGACAATGGGATGTACACCTGCTTTTTTAAAAAAGGAAATGATTTTGAAGAAGCGATTTTGGAGCTAAAGGTGATCGGTGAGTAATTGTCTGAGAGCATAGACCACTCTAAGAGAAATGTAAGTGTTCCGCATTTGATTTGGGGGAAGGATGGCGAACAGGACGGATACACAAAGGCAAGTATGCTGCAAGCTGGTTGACATCCTAGACTGGGCTTAGCCCCACACATCGCTCTGTACTTCAAAATTAAACTACTTCCCTAAATATCTACATGTATATAAAAGCTGAGCGACCAAATGTCAGAACAACCGGAATGACCAGAACTACAGGTCACTATGACGGGAACTGCAGCAGCCAACTGGCCCAATCTGGGTCCCTATGGGCCGCCCACAATCTCCCGTGGCCCCTCTCCCCAGCGGCCCCCAATCAGGTCCCCCGCCCCAGTCGGGGATGGATCCAGGGTCCCTTCTCCCAGCCACCGGTTCCCCGATAGGCTTCAATCACCAGCCAGGCTGAGGGACCCCACCATGCACAAATTTGTGCACTGGGCCTCTAGTCTACCATAAAAATAGGCCTCTTGTGTCTCTCCTACACATGGGCAGGAGAGTGCCATCCTTACCAAATGTACCATCACTCTCAGACAAGAATCCCAGGTATCTGCTGCAAGGGACTGGCCCAGGCAGGACGGCTGGTGGTCGTGTCTTAAATGCATTGCTTGGAGAAAGTGACTTGAGGGTTGTGACAGGGTGGCTTGATATTGCAGGAAAAAAGTTATCCTTAGAGAACTGAGGTCAGAAAATAATAAACAATCAATAACTAACTGAAACAGTTGATTAAAACATGGACTTAATGGTTTGGGGGGAAATAAAATGGCCTGAAGAGTGGACCAGTGGGAAGGGCCACCATGGACTGAGGCTTGGTCACAACTGAATTAACCACCATAAGTTTTATCATCATTGATGCTATTTCATTTAATTACAATAATACTGTAAACTCATTGTATCAAACTCAATTCAGAAAGGTATCCTAATAAAGATACAAAAACCCAGGGGCTGTCACATCCAAAACGACCAGAGGGATGACTGAACCTGTGCAGGCAACAGGTTCAGGTGGGCGGGGACTGGCGAAAGGGCTAAACTGCTGACCTCTTGGGGAGAGAGAGGAGGAGCTGACCAGTGGCTTCTGCAGCCGCTGGTGAGGCCTGGAGAGAGAGAGAGAAGTAAGGTCTGATTTGCAGCTTTGAGGCTGCAGATCAGACCCTGCTTCTCTGTCTCTTTGGGCCTCGCCAGCAGCCATGTCTCTCTATGTCTGAGAGATCAGCAGTTCAGCCCACTGGCTAGCAGCCTGGAATGGCTGTGAATCAGCCCCACCTCTCTGATAAGGCCCAGAGATAGGCCCAGAGATGTTGACTGGCATAGAAACCGGCCAATCAAAACCAAATCTGGGTGAACTGGGAGGGACCAATGGTTGCCTATGAGGAGGAACTTCTGACACTGATTGGCATAGAAACCGACCAATCAGAACCTAATCTGGGTGAACTGTGAAGGCAAAGCATAATGTGGGGAATGAGGAGGGGTTTTAAGGGCAACAGCTGTTTGGTGTAAGGTGTAAGAAAGCGGTTCAATTTTTTAATAACTGGTTTGTTAGTATAGTGCATAAGGCTGGCTATCAGTCCAGATATAGGGATTATGTGTTTTTGTCTGCCAAGAGCATCTCCTCCTGCTGAAAAAGGCACCCCCCCACACACACACACTTAAGCAATACTATCCTGTATAATCTATCTATACTAATAAAAGGATAACATGCTAATTAGACCAGGTTGACTGGCCATCTTCCAGATATCCGACTTCTTTCCGGACAAATCCATGGTGGTGGGGGCCAAGGCAGAAGCAGTTAAGGGCGATCAGGCTATCAGGGGAGGGCAGTTAGGGATGAGATCAGGCTGGCAGGGGAGGGCCATTGGGGGCAAGATCAGGCTGGCAGGGGAGGGCAGTTAGGGGCCATCAGGCAGGCAGAGTCAGTTAGGGGTGATCAGGCCAGCAGGGAAGAGCAGATAGGGGTGAGATCAGGCTGGCAGGGGAGGACAGTTGGGGGCAAGATCAGGCCAGCAGGAGAGGGCTATGGGGGGCAACCACGTTGGCAGGGGAGGGCAGTTGGGGGTGACTGGGCCAGCAGGGGAGAGCAGTTGGGAGCGAGATCAGGTTGTCAGGGGAGAGCAGTTAGGGGCGGTCAGGCAGGCAGGTAGGTGAGTGTTAGGAGCCAGCAGAGCCAGATTGCAAGAGGGATGTCCGACTGCTGGTTTAGGCCCGATCCCAGGATGTCATTTGGACATCCCCCAAGAGATCTCCGATAAGAGAGGGTGCACACCGGGCTGAGGGACCCCCCCCCATGCACCAATTTCATGCACCAGGCCACTAGTAAAATATAAATTGATAATCTTCCCTTTCTCTATATTCCCTTTTCTCTTCCAAAGTAATTATTAATACCAAATTATTCTATGCCCTTCCAGTTATCTTTCTTTATATATTTATATATGTAATTTAAATATACCTACATATAATTAAAATGATTAACAAATGTATAGTATAATAATAAAATATATAATACTAGAGGCCCAGTGCACAAAAATTGTGCACTCAGGGGGGAGGGAGGGTCCCTCAGCCAGGCCTGTGCCCTCTCGCAGTCTGGGACCCCTCAGGGGATGACCACCTGCTGGCTTAGTCCTGCTCCCCAGAGGATTGGGCCTAAGATGGCAATCAGACATCCCTCTGGCAGCCTGGCAGCCCTAGGGGGCTGTCCACTTGCCAGTGGGGAGCAGGCCTAAACTGCAGTTGGGCATCTTTAGTGCTGCTGAGGAGGCAGGAGAGGCTTCCACCACCACCACTGTACTGGCAGCCATCAGCCTGGCTTTTGGCTGAAAAGAGCTCTTCCCATGTGAGAGTGCCCTGACCACCAGGAGGCAGCTCCTGCATTGAGCGTCTGCCCCCTGGTGGTCAGTGTGTGTCATAGTGACCAGTCATTCCCAGTCCTTCTGCTGTTAGGGTCAGTTTGCATATTACCCTTTTACTATATAGGATAGAGGCCTGGTGCATGGGTGGGGGCTGTCTGGTTTGCCCTGAAGTTTGTCCCAGATCAGGGTGGGGGTCCTGCTTGGGTGCCTGCCCAGCCTGGATGAGGGGATGATGGCTGTTTGCAGCTGGTCGCACCCCCTTCAGGGTGTGGGTCCCCACTGGGGTGCCTGGCCAGTCTGGGTGAGGGACTGCGGGCCGTTTTAAGGCTGGCGGGTGACTGAAGTTCCCAACCTCTGTTATGGGTTCACTCAGCGAGATAGACCACCAACTCAGAATTTAAATTTAAGAGCCTTTATTAAGCTGGCCAGCTGACTACAGTTACAGCACCCTGACGAAGCAGAGGCTGAACTGCAGCCTGACTGCAAGAGTTACATTTTATTCTTAAATTTTGTGGAAGCCCAGAGAAAAATGTGTCTTTCAAATTCTGGGCCCCCCAATATGGAGGAGACTCTATTTATACTTTTTCCAGTCCTTTGTCTCCCAAATTTGGAATGAGACTTCCAGGCCTTCTGAGAAAGAAGGCCTGCATGCTGGGAAGGGGCCATGAGACCATATCTCAAGGCCTGGCCTGATGTCAGTACCTTCCTATCTATGTGTTTTAGGAACAGACAGCACAGCATGACCCGTCTGGACGAAGCGCCAGATATACAGCCCAGCACACCTCTCCTTTTTTTAATTTTTTTTTATTCTGGGATTTATTTACCTTCTATGGCTGTCATTGGAGCTGAGAGCCGGCTTTAGCTCTAAGGCTCGGTTCCAGCTCTGAGGCCTCGGCTGCTGAAAGCAAGTATCTGGGTTTGTTTGGCTTCTATAATTGAAACACTGTTGCAGCTCCAGCTCTGACAGCTGAAAGCAGGCTTCTGGGGTTTGTTTAGCTTCTATAATTGCAACATTGTTTCTTAGAATGCAAGCTCAGAGCCGGGCAGCAGCAGGTGGGGAACCTTGGCTTCTTCCTTCACTGGAGCAAGCAAGCCTCCTGTTCACTTCAGCTGCCTGGCTGCCAGCTGCCATCTTGGTTGGCAGTTAATTTGCATATTGCCCCCATTAGCCAATGCGAAGCGTGTCAGAGGTATGGTTAATTACCATGTTTGTCTATTATTAGATAGGATACTATTATATATAGTTATATATAATCCTTCAGTCTGTGGGCCAACGCTCTATCCACTGAGCCAAACCAGCTAGGGCAAATCCTATATAATAAAAAGCTAATATGCAAATGGTCATCACGCACTTATGCCCTCGTGCTGAGGCTGGGGGACCTGAGGCTGTGCCCCCTCCCTGTGGGGCTTGATGGGGGTGGGGTCAACCGGTTCTGGGTCTCGTGCAATTTTGAGGCATACACGAGTGGGCAGGGACTTGATTCTGGGTCCTGCAGTGCTCCTCAGACTCTGACAGGAGGGAGATTTTCATAGAAATTTTACTAATTTTCTTTCACCTCTGACACTTCTATTATAGAGAAAGGGCAAACTGCAATATTAAAATGTTTCTTCTAATTAATTCCCTTTTAATGTGCACAAATTTTGTGCACCAGGCCACTAGTATGTAATATATTTACATTGCATTTATTTGATGTCTGTTCATAAACTAATCTTCAAAAATGTTTATGTTAACTTATTTAAAAAAAAAATCAAGTCCAGCAATTGTGGCTCAGTGGTTGAGTGTCAACCTATGAACCAGAAGGTCACAGTTCGATTCCTTGTCAGGGCACATGCCCAGGTTTTGGGCTCGATCCCCAGTAGGAGACATACAGGAGGGAGCCAATAAATGATTCTCTCTCATCATTGATGTTTCTCTCTCTCTCTCGCTCTCTCTCTCCCTTTCTCTATAAAATCAATTTTATATATATATATATATATATATATATATATATATATATATATATATATATATATTAGAGGCCCATTGCACAAAAATTCATGCACTCGGGGGAGGGGGGTCCCTCAGCCCGGCCTGTGCCCTCTCGCAGTCTGGGACCCCTCAGGGGATGTCCACCTGCTGGGTTAGGCC